AAAAACTATCTCTGATCACTTGAAAAAAATACAAAGGTATCTTACATTCATCAATAATGGATGTAAACTGTTAAGGAAAGCAATCATTGCAATGTCATAAGGTCTGTGCCCCCATTAAGAAAACAAAATAATAATAATAATAATAAAAACATCTGGACTTGCGACCTGTCCAGGGTGTGCCCCACCCTTCACACAGTAGCTGCGTTAACATTGAACATAAAAATGCGCAAATTAGAATTGCGAAAATAAATTTGCTTAATGAAAAAAAAACACCAATTTAGAAAAAAAACATACATTTTTTCGACAAAATGGTTTTTGCGACAGGATATGATCATTTTTCAGCTGTATCGAAATTGGTGTATTTCACAAAACACTTTTTTCGCATCACAGAAGTCACCACAACAGGCGTGATCAACAACAGGATGTTTCTGCTGGTGAAAAAGACGACAAAGAAGAAGACAACAGGAAGTAGAATTTGTAAAACCACTGACTATAATCTCACAAAAACGCAGCATACATAGGCGCTCCCAAGTATAAGTACATCGCTGATGGCAGATGAGTGCTAGTGCCGTGGTCGCAATATGAATATACTATCTCATAAAAGTGTTTACATCCATTGCTGCCATGTTTGTAATGACTTATCGCGAGAACAAACATATTCACGTGGGATTTTAATAGCATTTCTTACTTAATGGAAACACTGCAGTTGCAAAACTTTTTTCAACATTACCTGAATATTGACAAAGTTTTGCGCACATTTGTGATGGAATTGCAGCTGATGACTGCTGGATATGGGCACCAGTGACCCCCTTTGACCCTGAAAGGAAAAAGCGGGTATAGATAATAGATGGATGGAAAACAAAACAAAAAAAAATTAAGCAAGAACCAAAATCTTCACATTTTCTTTCTTTTTAAATTGATATTTAATTTGTCTGGGAATAAAAATGTTGAAAATAGGGCAATATTAGTGATGTTCATTGAAGGAATGGAATAACTGTATTATAGTGGTCCATATTGAGGCTCAGAATTGTAACTTTGTGCTTTGTTTACATTGAACGTGGACCCACATTTCAGAGTTGCACACTAATATAATCTTGAATACTACTGGAGTAAACTTTCAAACTTCACCATTTTGTCCATGATCAACCTTTTCATTTTTGATTTCAGACTTTGCAAATGGTACTTTACTTTTGAGGGTAATTTAAAGTGTAATTTTAAATATATTTTACTACGACAAAAAATGCTTTTGGGCTTGCTTTGTTAAATTCCACATTACGAACACATAAAACTCGAACATTACATCCTCCTGGCCTGTGTCTCCATTAAGAGTTCTCAATAATGATGTGTTTCTTTTTTTTAGCAGACATCCTTCGAGCATTTCTGAGTAAAGCTGTCGTTGCCATGATTATAACCAATTTTGTAAACTTGTTAATTGTTTTATTCATAAGTATTTTGCTGAGAGATTAATTACCATATCTTTTGCAATTTGACAAATTCAGAAAGCAGATTTATTTTTGTACACGGACTTCACAAGATAATTATTGTTCACACATTTACTTTTCTAAACTGGATTTTGCACATCTTAGCATTAATTTTTGTAAAGAGGATAATTAATTCAACAAAGAATCAAATCGCAAGAAGATAGAACCAAAAAGAAAAGAGACAGCTTGAGAAATACAAGCTCTATTAAAGCCAACAATGAAATAAGTTAGTAATAATTCCACGATTATTTGTTAAATAATATTTTATAAACTGTAATGGATGCTTGCAAGGATTCCTACCTGTACAAAGTCAATCCCTACGATTAAATCAATAATCAAATAAGTTAGTGGGAAACAGAAAACCATTTACAGAAAAGAAATCAAGTACTTTATATGTATTTGCTGAGATGACTCATACAATATACACTCATCCTCATTAAGTGGGCAACAATCAAAGAACCTTGAAGTTTTACTGCCTATTAATCACAAAGTCCTGTTGTGATTGTTGCCATATATAATAACATAATACATTCTTTTCTGAAAGGAAAATAAGTCTCTATGGTGACCGTGATGGGATTGTAACTCTGGCAGCCTGAACTGCTCATAACTTAACTTTTACTTTCCTGATGTGTTTTAGATAACATTTACATTTATTTTATTTTATTTTACTTTACAAGGCTCCRGCCAACTCCTTGTTTTTAATTTCTTCTATAACAAAAAAGAATTAAATAAACCCTAATGTCRCCGGTGAATCAGAAATCATTCACACCYTTTTATTTTACAATGCATTTCACRAGAAAGAACCTAAAATCTGTTTATTTAATTTTGCAGTTGAAATTTTAGATTAACCTTGGTTGATGCAAAACACAAAGTCAAAGCGATCGTGCAGAAAGGAGTTTGTGAAAGGACTAAATGAGTGAAAAGTGGAGAAAAAATAATAATTACACCACAGGTGTAACAGTTGCTAAGTTTATTAAAAAGATTTGTTCATAGTTAAATACTTTTAGTGGCCTCGAACCAACCGTGCCAACAGACTGTGAAATAAATGTGCGTTGGGAAGTACGTACCTCTTCCTTCAGTCTGACGTCAGGGTTAACAACTTCAGCTTTACAAGCCTGGTAGTGCTCAAACAATTTGCAATTCAGACATTTTGCACAAAAACAAACTTTTTTTWAAAAGTTTCACACAGTACCGCCGAGTGCTTCTTCTATCACCACAGACGCATCATATTTGCAGTTGTTGGGAGCATGCACAACATTTTTACAATTTAATACAACAACAAACTGTACCTTACATTGCATCACATATATTATTCATTACAATTACAAAAAAATAAAAGATTTTAAAAACTCCATCAGGTTACAAACTATGTAATCCTTTAACTCATTTGAAATCATGAAAATCAAACTGACAGTGATGTTAATCAGCATCACCACAGGTGGATAAAAACAAATAAAAAAAAAAACATTAGTGGTTGCATTTAACTTTAAAGACAGTTTTGTTAACTAACCATGATAGCTTGGGTAATAAACATAATTTTCACCTGTTAAGTGCAATGTAAAATTACAAAACGTAAAACACCATGAATCCAAACCCTCCTATGTTATAAATTATGTGTAAACCTGCTCCCTGCTGTCTGGTTCAGGTAGCTTCTCTGTTAATACACAGCAGACAGCCGTGTCGATGGCTGCAGTGCTTCCATTTCATCTTTCATGGCGATAGAAATTGTGAAATGTGGCTGTGGTTTCGAGCTAATGTGAGCGGCGCATTAACAAGTGTGTGTGCACATTTGTATTACCTTGGCTGGTAAATGACAGTGAATAAGAAAGCAGAAATCTGGAATTTACAGTGCTTGGTAAAGATTCRCTAAACTCTGGCACTGAGGAGTCTCATTTGATCAAACAGGCTATAACAAGATATGTTCTTGTGCAAACTTTGTATTTGTTTTTGCATTTCTTAAGATAATTACAGACTGAACCAAACAAAGGGACAACAAGGAAGCAAAAGTTTTGTCACCAAAAATCKTTTTTGAAATGCTGCAACAAACTTAAAGGGATCCCRGATTAGTTGTAACATTAGACTTTATTTGATAAACATTTATTTTAACTGTAAAATAAAGACTGTAAAAATACTGTAGGCTGTTTAGTTTTGTAAATTTTTAAAAATATATTTTAACACGGACTGAGCCATTTTATTTACACGCAAAGCATTTTGGGTAAATGATGATGTGGATAGGTCATCGGTGAGAGCGAGCTATATCCACCCTGAAGGTTAATCTTGGACAATATCTGATGATCGACTCTTTTAAATGAAACCAGAGAGCGTTGACAGAGAGGAGAAGGTAGAAATGACTCAGCCTGGAACTGAAAATATGGATGGAGGACAACAGAGCTGCTTCATGGAAGAAGAACCTCAGCTTAGCCTGTTAGKCTTTGTGCGACCAAAAAGCTAAACTGAGGTCCTCCATCCATATTTTCAGTTACAAGCTGAGTCATTTCTGCGTTCCCCTCTCTYTCATGTGGATGGAGGACCTCAGTGACGAGAGGAGAATGTGTAGCACTGAGCTAATACATATATATGGTGATAGCGTCGGGGCTAACGCTAAAGCTAACAGGCTAAGCTGAGGTTCTTCTTCCATGAAGCAGCTCTGTTGTCCTCCATCCATATTTTCAGTTCCAGGCTGAGTCATTTCTACCTTCTCCTCTCTGTCAACGCTCTCTGGTTTCATTTAAAAGAGTCGATCATCAGATATTGTCCAAGATTAACCTTCAGGGTGGATATAGCAGCTAGCAGCCTCGCACCGAGGACCTATCCACGTCATCATTTACCCAGAATCCTTTGCTGTAAATAAAATGGCCCCGTCCGTGTAACATATTTTTTAACTTTTAGTTTAAAAATTATTAAAACTAAACAGCCTACAGCATTTTTACAGTCTTTTTTTTACAGTTAAAATATATGTTTATCAAATAAAGTCTAATAATACAACTAATTGGGGATCCCTTTAAAGAAATGTTTCTTTTTTTAAAGAGACTCAAGAAACAATWGAAAATATCATCCGTTCACATTGCATGGGATGAGGAAAAAAAGGAAGGCAACGCTAATAAAAATGGTGCTAATGTTTTTCTGTGATGTGACGTTTGTCACCAGCTTTCAGCTTCGAACAGATGAGATCTCTCCCACYAGATCAGACAAGAAGACGCCCGTCTCTAAGTCTGCCGAGCGCGGCAGCGACCACAGAGCCCTTCTTCTCAAAGACACGCTGTCCGTCCGCGCTCCCARTGAAGTCTTTTTACATAAAGTAAATGTGGCAGAGCACATGCAGCTTTGATGAGGTTAAASTGAGGCATATCAGTCTTAACTAAGGCAGGAAGAGAAACCAGATCAGAARGATGACATGGAACTAATCTGTGATGACCTCTGCCATCGCTGCAAAAGATGATGACACACAACCCTGAACGTTCAAAGCATCCTTTTGGGGCTGTTAAAACAGCATGTCAGAGCTTCAGTTTTTTTTCTTCTTTTCATTTTTTTTCACAGGCTAAATGATAGAACATCAAGCTCTGTGACAGTGGCAGCACCTACTCATACATTCAAATCCCCTGAATTTATGGAGGAGGTGATTCGAGGCTAAGCTGGGCAGACTTCTATAAATAAACGTCACCTCGCTGTATGTTTTCCACATCACACGGTCAATGGGAGCTGCCAAACCATAAGAATATTTTCTAAACAGTCTCCGTTTGTCCTGGCACCTGCTGCGGCTCCTTCCTTCAGCCTGCGAAAGCCCTTCCCRCCGGATATGACCGCCGCAGACATCACCCTGTCCCTGCGCCCCCCGTCCCGCTCGCAGGCTCGGCCCCGGACCCACATTTCCGGATCGTCGCTGAGTTCGTAGATGGACCCGTCCTCCACGCTGTGTTCCAGCGACTCCAAGGAGGAGTCCGACGCCTCGTCGCCCTGCGCCGTCAACGGCCAGCCGGGCAGTCCCGACGTGGAGCGCAGCTTGTACTGAAGCAGAACGCCGCGCCCTTTGCCCTTCTCCTCGGGTCGGTAGCAGCTGGACGGCTGGAAGGAGTCCTGAGAGGAGGCGTCGCTCCGGTCCTCGCCGCCACAGGCAGAGTCTGGACCGTCTCCAACAGAATCCCTCTTAAGCAGGTCGGGAGACAGAGAACTGGTGGTCGCCACGAGGAAGTCCACAGGCCCAGAATGAGCATTCAGTGAAATCATCCCTTTCCCTGTAACGATTATGCACACTTACACATCTGCTACTCAGTGAGGAAAAAAAAACTGCTTCTGTTCAACTCTGGGACCAAGTCATTGCCAATCACATCAATTCACTAAGAGTCTTATGCAAGTCGCATGCTGAATRGTGTGAACTGAAAAAGACTTGAACCAAGCTTTGCATCACATGTCATACACAGTTAACGGTGACAATTCATCATAATTCTGTGACTGTTGAAGCAATAATGCTAGCCATAGTTTGTGGGACATTTACATATTATTCAATAAACTGGCTGGCAATAAGGTGGCTGTGAAGTGCGGGGTTGCGCAAGTGGAAAACCAACGACCTCATTCACTTGGCATGATAAACAAAAACCCTGGCAGGCAGTTTTAAATTATGCTGCAAGAATACATATACAAAATGATTTGTGAGGCTGCCTGCCTGATAATATTCACGCTGATTCCTTTTGCTACATGAAAAATGTGAAGTGAGACCTCAATAATGGGCAGTGCAGAGTAATTTTCTCTCATAAACTGTTTCTTCCTCTTTCTTCTGACCTGAGAAGATGCGGTTCAGCCGTACCTGTTATTTTAGGGATGCCCTCCAGTTTGGGCACTGGAAGAGTGATGATTAAGCCTTGGGCTGTGCCCACCCATAACAGACCTTGGCAAATTAGAAGACTTGTGACCTGGATGCTCTTTTGACCTGTAATATAGAAAACATTGTCAGAAAATTGAATTTTCTGCACCAACCATTGCAAGTGAATAACACAGCAAAAACTCCAACAGATAACTCCCCGCTGACTAAATCCTGTCTCAATCTTTATACGATAAAAAACAAAACAAAACAAAAAATACTTGGACTTTGGGTCAGATGCAGCTCAAGTCTGTGATCTCTCTCTTTCTGACAGCTCCTAAGGGTTGTGTAAAGTGATGAACTGCTGGACCTGTCTYCTTGTTGCTAACCCAGTTGGAGAAAAAAAAAACTTTAACATAGACACAACACAGGGAACACGACTGAAGAGTTACACATTTCTACCTGAGATCTGAGTACTTATCAAATACTGAGCTTCAAAATTTTCACCTGCTACTGTACAGGTGTTTGTTTAGGAGATCACGTCAGGAAAAAAACACAACATAATCTCTTGTGTTGCTCAAAGGAGCCCGTTGG